TAAGTGAGTACAAAATTTCACAAAAGCTGAAGAGCATTCAGGATCCTTGACCCCTGCAATCTGCTCTCTCACTACCTCTTCCAATTGAATAGGATCTGGAAGAAATGAAGGAACATCTGGAAGAAATGAAGGAACAATAATATTAGTCACTTACTGTTATCAAAAATATTTTTAAGTCTAATATGCATTGTCAAAAACAGAGTTTTGACACAACGTCCTTGCATCGAGGGCATACAGAACTTATCAAGTATCTGTGAAAATGATTACACCCATTCCAGTACTATGGAATGTAAACACAAAACATAGATGAAGACAGGAATGAGGTGACTACCTATGTGCGATCATTCCTATGTTTAGATTAAAAAAAGGTGCAGCACAGCCAAGATTATAGAGCATTTTTAAACCGGCCCAGCTTTGCTTCTCCCAACATAAGTATCTCATAACTGCATATAAGTTAACAAGAGAGACATCATTTTCTTTTAATAGGAGAGACATCACTTTATATTCACCTGTAGGATATTATTTTTCGTACATGTAAAGAACATGTTATAATCGCTCTACCCAACTTGGTACATTAATCGCTCACAGAAATGCAGACCGGCTAAAAAAAGGGAGAACATAATCATCATAGCGGAGCCAATATGAAGGGTCATTTGGTGGCAAAAGAAACTGAATTGTCAACGGTAACCCAGGATCGAAAATTTTCAGTGTGGATTGTACATGGCAGGACAAATTTTCAGTGTGAACCTTCAAAAAAATTCAGTGTGAAAATTTTTAGTGTGGATCCAATATAAATCTGTCAGGACAGAAATTGTATTTATCAGTTCTATTTTTTTATTGGCAATGCAGAAACTGAGAAACGATGTCATATCAGTGGGCAATGTATACATGCCAATAGTAACCTAGCAGTTTATTAGTTGATGCAAAATGAACATGGCAGCAATAATCTAGTTTGGCCATTTGGGCAAAAGTAGAATGAGACAACTATATTATTTGCATAAATCATGCAGAGATAAGCTGCCGCAACCATTCACACACTAAATAAGCTGAACATGTGATATATATAAGCCAGAGAATAACCATCAACAAATACATAGACTTTGTATATAGTGATTAAACTACCATCAGCCAGATATGTAATGAACAAAATCAGTGATGAGAAAAGGATACACCTTTCATTTTTCAAGCTCTTTAGCACACGGATGGAAAATTCCCTACTTTCAACCACCTTTTGAAGAAGAGATTCACGCTTTCTTTAGCTACAAACACCAAACGGAAGAGATGGAGCAATCACTTAATTTTAAAATAGTAACAAAAATGTTGCAAGTTCCTTCGAAAATTTATCCTCTCCATGTATTATTCAGCAACCCAGACAACAAAGTAGAAGAGCATCTAGTAGAAACCCATACATCTCATTGTGAAAAAGTTTGAGAAGCTTGCACCTTATTTATGTTGAATTTGGTTGGTCTGCAGCATGATGGCCAGCCCCCATAGTTGTATGTGTCCAGAGACCAGCAGTGCAGTACTTGGATGCAACTATCTTGGCCTATCTATGTACTCAGATTATTTCATCACAATGACATGCATATCCTGGAGTAATGGATTCTCATCCCTCAGGGCCCCCATAATAATATTCTAAGTTTGTCCGAGTAACAGAAATCAGTGCCTCACAGTGTTCTTCTCGACAGAATTTATCACCCTCAAGCAAAAAATCAGTGCATCCGAATGTTCTTCTCCATAAAGCAAGCATCTCCACTTCAGTTAGCCAACCCAAATCAGTTGAAGTTAGCTGGCCTGATCTTAAACTTGACAACGCAGAGCGTTGCAAAGATGGGCAGCTCAAGCGGCGCTCGTCTCATCCATGAGCATCTCCACAATAAGACGCCATCTCCAAACTAAGATGCTGCTCATCTCGTCGGCGATGGGGTACTTATTGTCCTCGGCGAGCACCACGGCCTGCTGGACATATCCCAAATTCTCAACCACAACAAAGAAAAAAATTATCATGGGTGCTGCAATTTTCTCAATCGTGAATTAGCAGCATATACCTATGCAACAAACCAACCCTCGCCTCCACTGCTGCTGCAACAGCGGCTCGTCGTCGCCCATCCCCATAGGAGCAGCGTGCTAAGAAGGCGAGGACGCGACTGCGAACCTCCTCGATTGCCCTCCGGACTTGGGCGGCGCAGTCCTACCAGTCGCATCTGACCCCGCTGCTAGCCATGACCCTGTGGGGCCTGAGCCGGAGCAGCACCTCCACCATGACCTCCCTGGGCACGGGGTCCCCGCCTCATCGAAGGAGAGGGCGCGGCGGAGCCGGTGCTCCCTACGGCCCCCAGGCCCCTCGGCTAGGTCGCCCGCGCACCATCGCCATCGATCCCCGTGACTCGCCTCGCTCATCCTCAAGGCCCTCGACCTCAACCTCGAAGGCCACCACCTTCCCTGACGCGCGAGGGCGAGGGCGAGAGGCGAGAGGGCGAGGCGACGTCGGTAGAAGGCCAAATCCACCGCAAGAGGAGTGCGACCGATCAGGCGAAGGCGAAGTGGGATCGTAGGAAGGAAAAATTCGTTGGCGAAGTGGGATCGTAGGAAGTGATCGTAGGAAGGCAAAATTTGTTGCGGTGATCGTAGGAAGTGAGATGACCAATAGCTTAGAACCTGTTGGGCTAACCTCACCCCCTCGGCTAGCCCCGTGCCCACCAGCGTCCACTGGCCAGCGTCCGCCAAGCCCCTAGCCAGCCAGGGCATCAGGCGACTGGTGCCCAGTCCTCAAGTGGCCAAGCACTGCCCCTGAAGGTCACAACCTCACCCTTCTGCCCTTGTCTGGTTGCCCCCTGCTGCTGCACAGTGAGCCATGTATTTTTGTCTGATAGAAAAACAACACATTTTTTTGGGTTATGGATACATTAATTTCAATATATGTGATGTTGTCTACACGAAGGATTCTCCAACTACTTTACCCGGAACAGTATAATTCTTCACCTTCTTATGGTTATAGAATACTCAGCTGAGAACATCTTATAATATTATAAAGCTAATTTCTGGGTTCAGATTGAAAACATATTTATTTGATCAGAGGTTGCATTGCCTTGCCACATGTATTCAGGTGTTTTTGGGGGTTGGGTGATGATAATCATGTTGTCTAAAACATGTCTTGCCACAATTCTACTTCAGAAAAGCAGTAGGTCTGAACTCTAAAGTTGAGAGAGTAATGGATAACTAATGCAGTGGAACAAGAGGACACGTGGTCAAAATCTGTACATTTTGGGCCAGTCTTTGCCGAGTGTTCGGTATTTGATACTCGGCAAAGCAGCCATGTTTGCCGAGTGTCCGGGATTTCACTCGGCAAACCGGGCATATTTGCCGAGTGTCAGGGCTTGGGCACTCGGCAAACATGGATGCTTTGCCGAGTGTCAAATCCCGGACACTCGGCAAACGCGCTGTAACCGTCTCTGCGCCGTCACGTTACTTTTTTTGCCGAGCGTCGGTTTCAGCTCTCGGGAAAGTATTTGCCAAGTGCCCGATAAAAAACACTCGGCAAAGAGACGTTTGCCGACACTGTAGATGTCGTGTGCTGTTTACCGAGTGTTACACTCGACAAATCCTTTTGCCGAGTGTTTTTTGGGTTTTGCCGTGTGCCTGTGGCACACGGCAAAGCTACTATTTGTGTTTCTGGTAGTGGCCCTAGTCCCTATCTCATATCTTCTTAACGATACTATGGGCCCAGATATCAAAAAAACACCCAGCCAGAACAGAATACCGCGAATAAGTTATGCAGGAGGCCCAAAAACTGGATAGGGTATCTCTCGACTACTTGGTGGATATATTGTATGACACTCAAAACAAACTCAGATGAAAAAGTCGTTAACTGCAAAGATGCAGATCTCGTCGAGTACTATAACTTTGATGCTGATTTTATCTCTATTTGACATTGTTAATAATGTCAAATATGATCCGAGAACTTATATTAAATATTTGAACTTGTAAATCATCTCAAATGAAAAAGTTGTCCACCACAAAGTTTTAGATCTCTTAAACTCTATAATTTTGATATAAATTCTATCTTAATCCGATCTCATGTGAAAAAATTATGAATTTTTTGTTTAACGGCTATCACTACCGGTTCAAGCCACGAACCAGTAATGATAAGTGGACTATCACTATCGGTTTGTTGCTTTAACAGACATTGATAATACACAACCTATCACTACCGATTGAAGCCACGAACCAGCAGTGATAGTCCACCTATCAACGTTGGTGGTCCTATCACTGCTAGTTGAATGAAGCCACGAGACGACAGTGACGCTCCATCACTGCCGGTCCGGCAGTGATTATCAGGTGAGTGTAATTTAATTGGCCTTCGATGTATTTAACGTTTAAAGAATTATTATGGCTTGTCACGGTAACCATAACCAATTAGTTTTATTAGTGATATTTCACAAGGACCCATTAGTTTTTGGATAGGGATGCATGGTATGCATGGTCGTGCGTGCCGACCAAGAAGCATCACGAGTAGCTATATGTTTGGAAATGGTTAGTTTGAGCAAATCTACTCAATAGAATCCATCGTCAAAGAGTGAGCGTGAGCTTCCATAGCTATCTAGCTAGCTTGTTCGACACTAATTAAACTACCCGTCTTTTTTTCTACGCGCGTACGCGCATGTGTGTCGTATCGCCGGCCGTATATATCCCCTCTTCTTCGCCGCAAGTGGCATTGTGGCAACCGTCAAAGTCGTCAGTCGTGACCTGATCCGGCCGGGTATATTCTTCTAACTCCAGCTATAGCTATGTACCCGAGGCCGTAGCACTCTGCTACCTACTACAAAGCTCTCTACCTATATCTCTACCTTCATGGTGTTATATTGCAGAGACTGAGAGCCAAGCAGAGCGATCGAAGCGGCCGGGCAAGCATGGAGAAGCAGGCCGGAAGCGTTGGTGGCAAGGCCCGCGTGGCTGAGGCCGCCACGAGGAGGTGGTGGCCGTTGAGAAGCCGCGCGACGATGAGGAGGACCCTGCCGGCCGTCTGCGTTGTGGCGGCCGTGACCGCCGCTGCCGTCGTGCTCACCACCGGCGGCTGGGGCTCCTCGCCAAACGAGATGCCGACCTCCTCGTTCTTCGACGGTACGCTACACTACAAACAACAAAATGCGCTCCGTCGTCGTGTTTGCAAAACCCGCTAGATAGAGGCCAGACGATATAGCCTGCATGTCTCGCTAAAATCACTAATACTCCGTACCTCGCAATTACCGAAACACGACAGAACACATACGCATGCAATATGCGACAAATGCTTGTTCCAAAAAATAATAATCTTATGATAATAAACTTAGCTACCTTTATTTATTTACCCTTCCGTATCGATCGTTTGATCATTTCTATTTATATAAAAAAATTAAAATAAAGCATGTGGCGGTGGTAACAATGCAAGGCGTATGTAGTAGGCGACAATTACCCTAGACGACCCTAGAGTAGCTGCTGGGTCGATCAATACGTACCGGTCCGTCGAGCGGTGCCATACGTACTTGATAAGCTCGCCCAGGCCACACGGCCAGCTGCCGTCTCCGCCACCCAGCACGTCAACGGCAGAGAGACCCCCACAGGACACGCGCGCATACGACGTTCAAGGATATATGATGCGGTCGTCCATGAAGGCATGATGAACCCACAAATAAACTTAATTAGTTTTACGAATGAAATAGTTAACTCATACATTTCAATATACTTAATTAATTTATTGATTGATATATATATATACATATACACATTTATGAAATAGTTATTTATTCGTGATTTTATAGACACTCGTACGTGTACGTATTCAACGCCTATGAGCACATTATATTTCTATGAACACCTCTGAAAGGAGAAAGACAGACTAAAAAATATCATAAAATCCTAGAAAAAATATAGATGGAAGAAGGCAATTAACATTCGGGTAGACAGGTTCCATCACAATGAATCAAACCTGCTGAGGTACACTCAATTCACGTTATTTGTTTGTAATTAATATGACTATTGAGGTACAATTTATAATTATAGAGGTTATATATGGCTATAGTAACGTACTTTGCTGTTGTTCATATGTACATAGTACAGTATACTTATATTTTATAAGCACTTCGATCTTCGACTATATAATGTAGACTTGAACTCTTTTTGGATGGTTAGTTGTGTGATGATGTGATATGATGGCACCAAAAATTAGATGTGAGACGGTCACACCAGGTGAGGCAATGTAATGATACATATCAAAGACAAAACAGATGCTGACAATGACGGCACTTACTAAAAAAGATGGAAGAGCTAGGGAGAGAGATCATCATACTGCAGGGCGGGTCATTTGGTGTCGGAGTTCAGTATTGACTATTTATTAGTTGTCTTAACGTTGACAAAAGCTGATGAATGCATTTCATTGCGAAAATGCGGAGTAAAGCTAATGACCACATTTCAAAACAGTCATCAGTCCATAACTGTTTAGGTAGAGAATATGGCGCTGTCTCAAGCTTTATTTGCTACCTTAGGGCTTCTCCAATGGAAAATTTATACGCAAATTTAGAAACTACTTTGTATTATATTTTATATTATGGCATAGATATGGAACTCCCATGAACCAAAATTTAGGTTGTTTTAGTTTTATTCTTCTCTAACTTTAATTAAATTTACAAAAAAATATTAACATTCATAATAGCAAATAAATACATTATCAAGAAATATTTTGCAATAGATTTAACCAAACCAATTTTTTGTTATAGATGTTGATGCATTTCTCTAATAACACGATGTAAACTTTAAAAAACTAAATTTTGGAATGGAGCAGTAGATTCAGTGGATATTATCATCAATAATAATTAGAGTACATACTGTGAATTGATGCTGAGATGTTTCTAATTTTATCCTGTTTTTTCTTGCACGGGAGGGTTGACACGCCACTTATTATTAATAGTAAAATTAGTAATGGTAATTCTGTGCTTTGTAACCACATGAACGTATTATGAATTGCCTTGCTCTGAACATGCATGTTTTGGTTCGCAAAATTTATCTGACATACATCACTCCCCATGAGAATACAAAAAAAATTTCCTTGATCGGAACATGATGGCCAAATTTAGGCAGTAGCAAATAATCACCTGATTACCTCAATAGTGAGTAACTTTTTTTGAGGAATTGAATAATGTGAGTACTGCATACTTCTAATAAGTTTTGTGTACATGTGATGAATCAGGCTCGGACCCTCCGTTGAACATCACCGACGAGCATTTTCTCGACGGCCTTCTTACCGCTAATTTCAGCTACATGTCGTGCCGGAGTCGCTACGAGTTCGCCGTCTACCACCACAAGCATTCGTCGCACAAGCCGTCCCCCTATCTCATCGCCAAGCTCCGGAAGCAAGAAGCGCTCCAAAAGCGATGCGGCCCTGGAACGGCTGCGCACAAGAAGGCGGTCCGGCGGCTCGACTCTGGCGAGGGCGTCGTCGACAATGAAGATGGCTGCCGCTACCTCGTCTACATCAGCTACCGCGGCCTCGGCAACCGAATGCTCGCCATTGCGTCGGCCTTCCTCTATGCGGTGCTCACCGAACGAGTCCTCCTAGTCGACGGTGGCAAGGACGCTGACGCGCTCTTCTGCGAGCCCTTTCCGGGGACGACGTGGCTGCTGCCGCGACCCGGCGGCTGGTTCTCCAACTCCCCGCTGAGGAGACTCCAGGGCTACGAGGGCGGCTCAAAGGAGAGCCTCGGCAACATGTTGCAGAGCGGCGTCATCACCGTGTCCACCGACGGGAACGTGTCGTGGTCGACGCCGCGGCCGCCGCCGTACCTGTACCTCCACCTCTCCGGCGCCTACGGGTTCCACGACAAGCTCTTCTTCTGCGGCGCGCACCAGCGGCTCCTCGGCGAGGTGCCGTGGCTATTCATGTGGACGGATAACTACATCGTGCCGGGGCTCTTCCTCACGCCGGCGTTCAGCGGCGAGCTCGAGGCCATGTTCCCGGAGAAGGAGGCCGTGTTCTACCACCTGGGACGGTACCTCTTCCACCCGACAAACCGCGTGTGGCACGCCATAAAGAGCTACTACCACGCCAACCTTGCCGGCGTCGGCCAGCGCGTCGGCGTGCAGATCAGGGTGTTCCAGAAGAAGCAGCCGCCACGGTCCGTGCTGGACCAGCTCCTGTCGTGCCTCCGCGACGAGAAGCTCCTCCCGGAGACGACGGACGCAGCGGGCGGCAACAGCACGTCCTCGCGTGCCGTCCTGGTGACGTCGCTGAGCTCGTGGTACTACGACCGGATCAGGGACGAGTACGGCGGCCGGATCGCCGGCGGCGTGCACCAGCCGAGCCACGAGGGGCGGCAGCGGTGGCGCGATGCGGCACACGACATGAGGGCGCTGAGCGAGATGTATCTGCTCAGCATGTGCGACGTGCTCGTCACCAGCGGCTACTCCACGTTCGGGTACGTCGCGCAGGGGCTCGCCGGGCTGCGCCCCTGGGTCATGCCCAGGGCGCCAATGTGGGCGGCCGACTGGAGGGAGGGGCTGGACCCGGGGGACCCGCCATGCCGGCGGGCAGTCTCCGTCGAGCCGTGCTTCCATGCACCGTCGGCCTACGACTGCGCGGCAGCGAGGGACGTGGACCTGGACAAGGTATCGCCATACATCAGCCGCTGCGTCGATGTCAAATACGGCATAAAGCTTGTCAATGAAAGCAACGGCCAGTGGTGACATTTGTCTAACAGAAATGGCCACATGGCAGATATATATCTGACATGTTATTTGCCTCAATAACACATGATGATGAAACAAGAAACCAATGTAGATAGGGGAACACTGTAGGTGCATACATTATAATAACAAAAACAATATTTCAGGTGCCAGACATGTAATTTTATCATTGTTTGGCTATAGAAAAAAATTATGAATTGCCTCCTGTAAGTTGTCCTCTTGGTTATGCAAGATTGTTGCCTAAACATTCAGGCACCTGAGATATAGAAACTCTCGAATAAAAAAATGTAGAAGTGAAAAAGTGATAAGGCTGGTGTTTTGACTTGTGGAATAAGTGATGATCATGTCAAACTCATCATCAGGCATCAGATCCTGCTCAAAGCCGCAGCAAGGGCAGACAACACCTGACAGTTCTCATCCCCCCCACCCCCAAAAAAAATCTGTTAGAAATGCATGCCTTCAATAATTCAGCAAATCCTGCTAGTTCCATGGAGTACAGAGTAACGTTTGGTTAAACTTAAATTCAGGATCAAAGCATCACATATGCAATATGCATCCAAACTGTGGGCCAAAATGTGCATCCTGGCCATTTGTGTGCCGCTACCAGGTCAAGCACATGAATTCCACATCATTTGCCTGGCCACCACCATTTCCTTGGAGGCGGTGGAGGTGTAAGGATGTCTAGCATGGTCTCCTTCTCCCTTGGAGTCAGTGGTACGCCTCGGACCAGGTTCAGAGCCATAATGTGAACATTTGTCCTTTGCCTGTGCTTTTGGTAAGCCCAGATGCCAGCTGCTATACCACCCACAATGACCTGTACATGATGGACTCAATCAGCAGAATGAATGCATCTTCTCAGATTCAGATTAACAGATTTCAGGGGATTTGATGAGTCACTAGCTCTTGAGTAGTAGCAGATGCCATACAGTTATGTCAGACAAATGGAAACATGTACAGAATGATAGATTCTTATTAGGCCTTACAGGTGAAAGCCATATCCCAGCAGTCTGAAGATCAAATTTAGGCGCATATAGCACTGTCTCCCCATACTCATCCTCTAGTTTCTTGTAGATCTCTTTATCACTCTTTCCTGCTTTTATTTCATCACGAATGAGCTGCAAAATGTAATATTGTTACTGTCTGATAGAAAATATCGCAGTAAAAGTGATGATGTCAAATTAGCATTACTACTGAATGTCCCTTTTCCTGGTTGCCGTACATTTAAATACATATATACAAATATACCAGAGGAAGAAAAAGAAGCACATATAACATCTGGTAAAACTAGCACAGGAACTTTCAAGTTTGAACCTAGTTGCAAAAAGAATCTCAAAATCTAAGCACTAGTGTTTTACAAAACAGGAGTCGACAAGCGCTTCAAATATCAGGAATCCAAAATTCTTTGAGACATTCTTGTTATAGATTTGGTACCATTGTCTAAAATGCGATGAGATGCTTGTCGTGTTCTTCAGCATTCTAGAAATTTTCAGATTTAAGGGCACCTCTGAAAGCCAGTAAATTTATAAGGAATGTTTTAAAAAAATGACTACGCCAAAACATATTACATTTGACAAAACCAAGAATTCAATAGCTACAACATTCCAATGTCGAACAAGTCACCATCTGTTGATGCACTGAAATCTCAGAAGCAAACATACGACAGTATCAGGCCTGATAAATTAAGTTACAGAATGACTAAAAGTAGTGCAGTTAATAACAGTTCTTTGTCCACCAAGAAGAAAGGTTAACTCAGTTATTCAAGGTAAAGCAATGGATAATTTTGGAAACAAAAGATGTATAAGCAACACAGCTGCATTGAGCTTATACTGAATAGCGTGAAAACTAAGAAATTTTGATATCCAAGATGTAATTCTTACTTTGCTTCAGAGCAATGGTTGAAAAGTTGCAACAAAACACAGGAAGGAACACATAACAGTATCAGCAAATCTGACTAATCCAGCAAGAGAATGACAAAAAATAACCCTGTTACTATGAAGTATGAGTCTTGCAAACAAGTCACTCGAGTTTAAAAAGTTAGTACCTTCCTAAGCAGAATAGCAACATCAGCTTGTGAATCTTCAATAGATTGGCTACCACACTCAGTGCACCGAACATTGTGGCTTATGTTTCTTGCACGATTTTCAATGATCTGCCTCTGTTTGACGTCATCCTCAGCTGCCATAGTAAAATTCAATGTACTTGATCTATATTACAGCGGCCAGTTAACAAGGGATAGAACCTGAAAGAAAAGAAATTAAGCAAACAGGTGAAGTAATAACTAATAACTTGTGACGTGGCTCTATGACATGGCAAGAGTTGCACAGAAACAAATTGCATCATCTCTTGTTCAAAATGAACAGTCAACAAAACCGGCAATCAGGAATACCAAATAACGCATCCTAACCACCTATCCTATAAGTGACTAACACAGTTCAACAGATTACAGCTGACCCAAGCAAGTGCTGACACAAGAGAAGATATGATCATCAATTTGACGAGGAAGCACTGCAAATATGCAGTTGTCCGCCAGAAAATAAACTCAACAAAAGAGCATATGCACGCATGCTTATCACTTCATTAACACTGGTTATCCTCCAAATCTTTCCCTTCATATCCAACCACAAGATGCTCCAATTTTCATTAATAAATTGTAAGCTTTAAATTGCAGGTATGAGTACTAAAGGTAAAGGTTTGGACCTTTTTATTCGAATTCAAAATTATGTAGACTATGAACAGGGAGTTTGCACTGCGAACCAAAAACTTAGAACCGGGTGTGTGAATTATAATAAGCAGAAACTTCACCTTGCGGCTCTGGCGAGGGGAGGGTTTTATACTGAGAATGAAAGGCATAAGAGGAGCGGAGAAGAGGCGGCGCTCAGGTAGCTAGGGAGGACTATGAACGCGGACACAGGGTGTAGTTGGAGACGATGAGGCAGCGGACGAGCTGCCGCGAGAGAGGAGCGCACGAGGCCACGGGAGGGGGGCGGATGGAATGCGGGAGGCACAAGGGGCACTGGAGCTCAGCGGGCGGCGAGACGCCACCGCTGCCGCCGTCTCCTTAGCGTTACTGCGCCTGCACGAAGTGGGCCGCCGCCGCTCGCCGTGAACAACGAAAAAAACACCATTCATCACAAATCAGACATGTATAAATCCCAAATCCGGCAATGGTTTCAAATTCCAAACTTTTTCATCTACTAGTGATTACCAACAGGCATGTAATCCTACACTGAAAGACATCCCCAACTGGACAATCGATCGAACCCTCGGTTGAAAGCTGCTCACAAATTGGAAGGGAAATCAACTCACCTTGCACATGTGGACCGCTCGCTCCCCTCTCCGGATGCGCCGCTACGCAGGCACGCTCGAGCACACTAGGATGTGTCGCCTTCCGCTGGCCGCCCGGGCGGCCACCCGTCCGACGAGCCGCTGCTCCCCTTCACACGCTGCGGCTGAGGTTTGGTCTGCCGTCTGCGACTGCGGGTGCGGGGGGGATTGCAGGACTGCGGTGAGGACATTGGCCGGCCGAATTCGGCTTGGGCCTCACTCAGCCTGCAACGGTCCAACGTCAACGAAGAAGGCCCAACTAAGCTACTGCGTGGAGGTCGGCCCAGTTTTTGATCTTTTATAAATCTATTTTCTAAATTTTAACCATCGACTATCACTTGGGTTCAATTTAAGCCATCAAACTCGGGTCATTCAAATTTGTTAAAAAAAATCGGGTCACTCAAATATGAAAACTAAACAACTTTGGCCCTTTACCTTTCAAAAAAAAACTTTAGCCCTCGGGCGGTTGCAGATGTCGTTTTGCCTTTATATCTGTTCGAAACTAGCTGATGACCCTTTTGCTTTTATGCTCCTCAATTTTGCCTATACTAGCATATGCCCATACGTTGCTACGGGCTACGGCCAAAATAACTGAGCAGCAGAGACTCTTTTTAAATTATGAATTTTATAGATATCAAACAAGAATTTCACACAGTTCATTTTTATAGAAAAAACACAAAAAACAATAACAGTTCTAATGTTCCAAAGGAAGGGCCCTCAATCTTCAACATAACCAATATTAGTAAAAAATATATAGCAATAGAGCCATACCATTTGCCTTAAACAATATTCATGCTCATTGTAAATATTCCAGAGTACACAAACGAATTCTTGGACATCAATGGTCTAAACATAATAGAACATAAGTATAGATAACTGTAAAAAAGTGTTATCAGCACTGTTCACTCATTGTGATTCGTAATAATCTAAACTTGTTTTTGTAGCATTTCGAAAGCACAAAGGTTCTCACAATATGAGTTTTTTATTCATTTGGAACCTGTAAAAGGAGAAAAAATAATTGTAAGAATTGAGAAAATTTAGAATATTCACACTACACTTTTAGGCAAGTTGAAGGCAACTGGAACGCTTGAAAACATGATCATTGCTACATATAGGAAAGTTTTCTTTTTCTTTTTTAGAATACATGTAGATGACTTTATATTGCAATAATGTTATCCTATACTCTGAAGTATAGGCGATTCTGATATATTCGATACTGAACAGCAATGATGTTATAAATTCAAGGAAAATAGCTGAACTGCACTTCCTGTAACCAAAGGAATCATGTACCAATGTCCTTTTTCATTTGGCATCATAGATTTCTTTGATTTTTCAATCACAAAAAAGCCACTAGTGATTCAAGAATAAAATTAATCCCCTATCCAATCATTAATCTCAAAGTCTATTTTTGTTCATGTCATCACTTTTAAGTAGTTTGACAACTTGGAGACTTTGTAAGGAAGTGACAAGGTCAACCCTAGGAAATATATTGAGCACACCACTCAAATAATAAACACCCCTTCCTAATCATATTTCTATATAAATCCTCCTTATTCTAAATCAACCTTTTCCAAACAGCATGATGAAGCTTGAGGTACCAGTACCAGCTCCAGCGCGTACAAGCTCAGCATAAAAGCAAACCACCAAATTCCTGGGTAGCGCAAACATGCATTTATAGATCCCCTGGCCAAAGAGAGAACGGACGGAGGACATAATTTTTCATACTTTAATACTTTCTCCATTCGAATTTTGGTAAATTATAAGACGTTTTGTTTTTTCTAGACACATAGCTCTATGCACTTAGATATACATTATGTCTAGATGCATTATGATGTATCTAGAAAAAACAAAACGTCTTATAAATTGAAACAGAGAGAGTATTAGATATATAGATATTGATGCTTTGGCCCTATTAATCATAGGAGCGAGGGACAATAGACTGAGGAACTGAGGACATAATTTTCCACATTTTAATATTATTAGTATTATAGTTATATAGATATAGATGCTTATGTATTTTTTAGAAAACTGCAGATTACCTGTTATTCCAATAATTTTGATGACAATGGAACAATACAAGAGAAGAGGACGCTCACCAGGAAACCAAAAACCATCTAAATTTTGGTGAACAACCTCCTCACAATGCACCCCAAAAATTCAACTACATCTTTTTTTTTTCTTTTAGAGAGAAAGTTCAACAACATCTTTGGTCCTACGTGACTTCTATCAACTTCAGCTTTCGGCATCGGAAGGTTTTTCCATCCTGGCTTTGCAAATTGATGTAACTGCTAATAATTAGCTCCTTGGATTCAAACAGATTTAGCTAATAATTTAGCTAATTGCTAGCTGAATATCCAACTAACAACTATCTTACTCGTTGAACCAAACTATCTTACAATTTGTTCCTATGAAATCATTGATATGGACATAGCCACATAGGGTATAGGTCTCAGCTAGTTGGCATACAACTTTTCCTAGATAAAACATGTTGAAAGATACACATGGTAAAAATTTATAATATATGTTACTAGAGGACATTTTCAGCATCGATCACCCGTGTCCAGTACGAAAATGTCCGAGTCGGCACCTAATGAGAACCTAACATGGGAAATATCAAGCTTGTCTGAAATATGTACCAGTGAGTCAAATTGTTCAGCTCTAAACGAATAATAAGGGAAGCCACCAACACAATTGCCTTCATATACAATTTGTCCTCCAAGGATTCAAGACTCAAGGAATCATAATAACTATCAGAAGCTTAGCATCATAGACATCGTAACGGGTGTTAAAAATAAGGTTTTAAATCTCCGACTATAGCTGTCGCTATAGCTGACTATAGTTGTTTATAGTTATTTGTGTTTATATAGAACTTGATCTATAGCTATTTAGCCCCATTTATGTAGAACTATATTGTTTTAGAGGTCATATAGCCGCTTTAGCGGAGATTTAAAACCTTGGTTAAAAACCAACTTCTTTAGTGTGGCCCACGTTATGTATCTAAAATAATTGGAGCAATAAGTGGTTATTTTTTTTATAAAAAAAACCAACTTCTTTAGTGTGGCCCACGTTATGTATCTAAAATAATTGGAGCAATAAGTGGTTATTTTTTTTAAAAAAAAACTCCCTCTTGTCATTATTATCATATCATAAAGTCACAAAAGCTTTCCTAAATTATTGAATCACACTTTCAGCTAAAGAAAAATGCAAGTGGAAACAAGTTTTCTATTGATATCAGAAAAATGCAAACGGCAAAAGATGTTAGAAACTCAGAATGTATTCATTAGTTAGCAGCTTATACTCTCTGTACATACTTTAGGATTTATATTGATTGATACAGAATAAAAAAATGGACTAGTGCTACTGATGCAGAGGCAGGATGTTTTGAGATTTATGTATAACAAATTTGACTATCGAACGTGATTTTCATTTTTCCCTAAAATAGTGGATCATTGAGAAACGTTAGCTGTGTCACAAACAGCCGACACATCACAATATCTATTAGTACTCCAAAAAACTTTCATTACTACGCCATCGCTAAAAATACACCTTGGTAGTATTTGCTCCTGGCTGTTCCAACAGCTCAATGGTTGTGGTTACATACTGCATTGGAATGAACAATGCCAGTGATTAGTAAACAGACAATTCTAAATGGAAAACATTTAGATATTACATGTTTATACTGAATCATAACAGAAAGAGGGTTTTTCTCTAGATTGCAGATGTGATACTTCAATTCTACTGGAATAACTATTCTTGATGCTTCAAGGGGTAACAGAGCCACAAGTAATTAATTTTTTATTTTTTTAAAAAAAACTCCCTCTTAAACCTTGACTCAAAATTATTTGACCAGAAGCTTCTTCTCCATTCAAAAGACAAACTGAACAACAATGTTTCTTCTTTCGAAATGAGAATGGAAAAAGGAAATCATATCTTCTCAATTGTGATGTAATATGATGGTTGATGGAGTTAGGTCGGATGAAACCAGCAGTTTCCTTTATTGTTGCTTCTGCTCTGGTTGTGGATGTTGCTGCAACAGCTGCTGTTTCAGAGCTGGTTGCATAGGAGCAGAAGGTGCACCCTTGTGTTCCTACAGAAGTGCCTAGACAAGGTATACAAATAAAATAGAATCTTTTAGAATACTGGCAGATTCAGAATGCATATCAAATCAATACCAACAACACATGCAAAAGGAACTGGCAGTGTGCTCCATAAGGCAAAGTAGTCACAGACACTGGCTGTGGCAGATTCGGAATATCATAGATTGATAGCACACCAACCATACAAATGTCGAATTTTTCTTCTCACCTGAAGGACAGAAGTAATTCACGCCAACAACACTGACATGAAGTCGATCTTTTCCTTGCCTGCCTGCTGCATCAGATTGTTTAAAAGATAAACAAAGATAAACAGATTGTAATGCCTGATGCATCATGAAGCAGAGATAACTTTGTGACCCTCGCCTGGTGTTGCTATTACGGGGACAACCCTTGTAATGCTTCTAGAATTGCAGCTTGCTCCCTACTACTAAATATTGATTCTCTCCTAACCAATTCGTAGTGATTGAATTCCTTCTATGGTTCCACATGATCAAGAGGTGGTGTGCTGGAGGCGCAGAGATCATATGTCGACCTGGCCCATGTCCATTGGGAGTTCTATGCAATACTGCAACAACATTTTTGTGGGAAAAAGAATGCCTTTAGTATTGTATTGTACTATAGAAAGGATACTCTTCCAAAAACTGCTATCCTATAAAGTCCTACACAAGCAGAATTTTACATTGAAACTTATGCGTTACAAACTTGTTACTTTCCCTTATGTGATCACTTACATTCAGAATCATATAAGAAAAGCAGAGATAGGAATAAGTAGGAAACAACCTCAGTGCATCAACAATTCTGGTACCGAGATCCCCTGCAGTGTGGACTTGGATTTTGGAAACATGACCACATGAATTGCCATTGCTCCTTCAAAAAATCTGTGCCTCTGCACGCAACCTGCAGCACAGTTTTAGCTTCACATCAAATACCTCCGCTCAGACTGATGTCGGAGCAACTTTGCAGGATGTTTTTTTCCTCACCTGGCTTGTCAATGACAAGCGTGACAGCATCCCTGTGCACAGCCCCACATAGCACGGCAACATGGATTGGCCACAACTTAGAGCAACTCAGCATAGGAGATCCCCAATCTATTCCATTCTCCATCTTTTAAAGGTACCACGTCATTGTTTGTGCAATTCTTTCCTTTGTGATGGGATCACACAGGTTTCATGCCGACAGGTATCGCGCTTCCTCCCTTCCTTCGCCCGACCTGAAGAAGTGAAGCAACCCGCCGCCAGCTGCCCAGTCAAAACAGGACTACAGGAAGCACCCTTAATCATGCTTGTGAAATATCACTCAAACCAATAGTAACAATACCACCATTCATTATGCTTGTGAAATATACACCTCCATCCATTGTTCCTGTAATACAGAATGCCAATTATTATTGGTCAAATATTAAAGACTGAAAGAAACAATTATTGAATTAAAGAACAACTAGACAGAGAGCACTGGACTGAATGGTTGCAGATACAAAAGAGTGTTTGAAATAAAAACTCTCAAAGAGCAGTAATATCTCTACTCCCCTATATCCCCACAGTAGAAACAACTAAAGTTATTTATGGCACTGTCAAAGACTAAGGACATACTAAAAATGAATGGAGGCACATACATGCGAAACATACAGGAATTGTAGGGAACAGTACCTTCAAATATGCTGCGTTCTGGGCTTCTGGCATGCCACTCAGATGGTCAGACCATTGTTGCATTTCATTGCAAAAGCTTTCTTTTGCTTTCCCTGAGACCATTGTAGATACACAATACTATTAAGAATAACCAAATGATTTTAAAATATTTTCTGTGCTCAATCATAGAAACCAAGCCCTCCCTTCTCTTGCTGCACAATTTACTCATCCTAACGTATGTGGAACTAAGGAACTGTGCTGGTTGTCACAGATCCAAATGACCTTCCGAGGCAGAACAAACAATAAAATACCCATCTCACAAGAAAAAAAACATAACTGGCCCCTACAAAAAAAAATCGGGTGTTAAATGATGGTTGAGATTTATCTAAGAAAAAAAAATGAATTTGCTTGTATTATGAACCAATCTGGCACAAAAGATCTCATCACAAATGGAATGAGAGAGACACAAGAAATAAATTAAATTAAGATAATTTTTTTAGACATGGCTGGAAGTTTTATTTTATTGCTACTATTAAACAAAGCTACTATTATGCATATTAAACTTATCCATTATTCAGAATATCAACTATCAACAACACCACTAATGGCTAATTTAGCCTTATTTCTAGCTAATCAAAGGCACTGCTGTTACTAAATATCTTAGTCAAACATTCAATCAGTAATGCTCATGTTCAGTCGCTGGAGACCTTAATAAGCTACATTAGTCTGCTCATCAAGTGTTTGTACATATTGCTGTAGAATCAAATAATAAGGTCTGCAGAACTTTTCCTTCAAAATCAGCTATTTAACTCTATTGATGCAATATGTTACAGGCTACTTTATAAGTAAGGTCAGACGGGAAAGGCAAGGGATAAACATGAAAGGTTGACAGAATACCAAAAGCGAGAGAAAAAGAAAGAGAATATTTACCATGATAAGAAGGCTGAAGGAGGCGCAACCACATCTCTACACCACCCCCCAAACACCCCTCGTCCCACCACCACCAATGTTCCTCTTATGCCTGTGGTAACAAAAGGAGAAAGGGTAAATTTTGAATTAATTGCCCCATTACTTACGAAACAAAAATGCTAGACGTGCATGCCGCACATCCTATGGAGGCCCCCACACGACACCAGACCACAACCCCAAACACCCCCTCCCACCACCATCAGACCACACCACCTAATCCTGCACATAACGTGGTAACACTAGCAGACCCGGCATCGGTACCTGACTGGGGTCTGGTGAGGCCATGAAGGCAGGCGCAGCGTAGTACTCGGGCCCAGCGAAGAACTCACTCTCCTTCTGCCTGGTCGCCGCCTCCCTCTCCCTGCTAGACCCACTCCGTGGACTCTTTCCAACATCCCAGCGCTCGTCGGAGCTAGACCTACTCCTCTCCCTGCTAGACCCACTAGACCCACTACTCCGTGGACACCCACTACTCCGTGGACTCTCCCTACTAGACCCACTACTCCATGGACTCTTTCCAACGTCCCAGCGCTCGTCGGAGCTAGACCGTGGACTCCTCTCCCTGCTAGACCTAGACCCACTAGACCGTGGACTCTTTCCAACGTCCCAGCGCTCGTCGGAGCTAGACCTAGACCCACTAGAACTCTTTCCAACGTCCCAGCGCTCGTCGGAGCTCCGCCCCGGTGGGTGGCTGAAACCCCACCGGGGTCTCTTGCCTGGTCCCACCGAACCAGGACAACAAGGTCGGCCTGCCATGAATCACCCACCGAAACTCCAATGAACTCAAGAAGGCGTCCACAAGAACGAACGGGCTCAAAGCACCGGAACCCTACACTAATCCTACCGATTTTAAGTAAGTAGTTAAAGGTTTAAACAAGCGAGATGGGACTAACCTGGGGGTGGGCTTGCGGCCGCCGTCCGCGCCCTCTCTCCGCTCCCCCGCGCGCCCCCGCTTCCGCGGCCTCCGACCGCGCCGCGCCGCCGCCCCGCTACCAGCGTCCGGCGCACGAGAGGGAGAAACCGGGTGCCGCTAGGTTTCTTGCGGCGTTCCTTCTCCACGCTGCGCCGCTGATTGGGCCGAAGCTGGGCCGAACTGCTAGATGAGCCCAAGACTACGACGTAAACTCATGAGTCCATAAGGCTGCGCTTCCTCTCCTTTTTTTTTCTTTTCCATTTTATTCAGGTGCTTTCGCCAAAAAAAAAAAAAAAAACGTAAACGTGTTGATGATGCTAGCGAGTGGCGACGATGGATTCCAATCCTCTGCACCGCCTTCTTGTGCTCGACTCATCGGCGCAGCACAACAACGGGCCTTCATGGCTGCGATAGCGGCCCATCGGAGACGATGTTGTGCCAGGCCTTGCAGACGATGGAGGCCCATCTTGCCCGCAACTGTCCGGAGGGACGCGGAGGAGGATCTCTTCCACGAGCTCCTCCGCCAGCGTAGACGCCATGTCGCTGGTTTGACGGCGTGCATAGAGGAATCGTTGCGTACGTGCTTGTCTTGTACTTGACTTGATATATATACACATGTATATATTTGGCTATCTAGGTCCGTTTCGCCAAGGTACGTGCTAGTAGTCTAGTCCGTGTGCAATACGTATACGCGTCGTTTGACACTCCGACCCCAACACGATGCATGTCCTCCGGCTGTATATATATACGATGATTTCTCGATCAGAATATGGTACGAGATCCGATTCCCACACGGAGCTTCTTGTGCTCCTGAACGCCTTCATGGCTTGACACAGGGGTCGAGATCATGGATCCGATCCGATCCGATCCGCTAGGTTTCATAGGCCGGGCACGGAGGATGAATCATGATGGACCGGTATGTTTCATCATCATAAGCCCAAAATGCATGCCAGCTGCACAGGATGTACTAAATAAATCAGGTGACCAAAGTGCTTCGTCTCAAATTCAAAATAGCAGAAGTAAGAGCATCTTTTGAGCCATTAGGTCGTAAGGAGTAGCACATGCCATCATATATAACACTTATAGAATGCTAGATCCCGATTAGGGCTTATTATGTCTGAAAATTGGGAAACATGTATAGAATGCTAGATCCTGATTATGGCTTATTATAGGTGAAAGCCATATCCCAGCAGCCTGTAGATCAAATTTAGGGGCATATAGAACCGTGTCTCTCCATACTCATCCTCTAGTTCCTTGTGGATCTTATCACTCTTTCCCGCTTTTATGTTTCATCATCATAACTGATGAACTGTAAAATGAATATCATTACTGTGTGAAAGAAGGGAAAAAAATACTGTGTGAAAGAAGGGAAAAAACACAATCAATCATTTATACTACAAAAGATCGAATGTGATGGTATTAACTTAGCACTGCTACTGAACGCCTTCTGTTCAAAGTTGTGCCATAAATTTCACCCACATCTGGCTTGGTTTGTGTAACCAAGTATATATACAAATATAACAGAGGAAGCAAAAGAAACACTTGAAGCTTAACATCTGGTAACACTAGCAAGGTACCGAAACTTTCAACTTTCAACCAAGTTGTCAAAAACATTAGTTAAAAAAAGGACCTCAAAATCTAAGCACTAATCTTTTCGAAAGCAAGAGCTAATCATGCATCAGAATACAAGACATTTCTTTTGATGGAATATATTACGCTATCTAAAACACCATAAGATGATTGCCATAATCTTCAGTTTCCTATGAAATTTCAATTTTCTAATATCCCTTCAGCTAGTAAATTTAAAAGGAAAATAATTTCTAAACAAATGATTGCACCAAAACAGATTCCACTTTACAAAATCAGGAGCTAATAACCATATTGTTCCAATTTCCAAGAAGTATTACATGCTTTAAGCTAATAATTGAATGGTTGACAGTGTTATACAGTCGGCTAGTCAACAACCAGTCCGGCTAATAGGGCCTAGTCAGTCCTGGTCATCCTGTACATTCCACGACATATACTATAGAGTACAACTGTATGAATCAAGCAGCAAGGGTATAAAAGAACTAGAAGTTGGTCACTTACTTGTGAAAGTACTACTTCATTGTCGAGAACTCCAGATCCTAGTTCAAATCTCCACATTCTTGCTGATTTGGTGAAACAAGGAAATCAGAAAGGAGAAACAATATGCAGTAGATCACAACCGCACAAGAGAATCAGCACATAAACATAATAAAATAGGTACCGTAGCAGCCAGCATGAGCATACATGAGTAAGCAAGTTCGGTACATAATTACACAAATGTCATCAAATGATAAAAAGCTTCGGTGCTCAACTTACAACACATCAACATTAAGTAGTCCAACACAAATAGCAAGGCTGTCATCTATTGATCTAAATAAGCAAATCAACATTCAAATGAAAGCTGCCTGCATCTCCAGCTGTTGCAGGTCCACTCGAGTCTTCATCCTGTTCCATTCCTGCTTCAGAATCAGATTCAAGTTGCTGCTCTTGCGCTACATCTCTCCTATCATGGTCACTGTCATCTTCTTCAGTGATGTCTGGAGCCGCCTCCTAGCATAAGTCTGGCTGACAGAGGCTGCTGCACGAGCAGCAGCAGCCCTAGGCAAGTTATGACCTCGTAGGCTCTCAGTTGCCCCAATAGTTTCATGCACATTAGCCCAAGTCAACTCATTACCATGAGCTGCATGAACCGACTCACAATTTTCATCCACCCATTCATTTTCCCATTCAAATTCTTCAAGCAAGAGGGGGTTGCATATCTTTCCTTTGGAGCCAAGCTCTCTAGTTTTTTTAAACTTATTTGACATCTTTCGGTTGTAGCTAACATATACTAATTTAGTTAACCTCTTATACTCCAATTTGTTTCTCTTTCTGTTGTGGACCTGCACAAAAAACACTGTAAAATCACAATGGTCTGCAAGCAATATTGCTACAAAACTCAAATTACTCAGTAGTAGTAATTACATTAGCAAAAGCACTCCAATCACACCCACAACCAGATGTTGAACAACAAAGATTGGTTATTCTTTTTGCTAAACTTTGGAGCTCATACGCTAGGCCACAAAATGAACCCCACCAAAGGACTGCAACATATTTTGATATTAATCAGTTCATTATAACCAAAGAGAAGCTTGAGAAGGTAAAGAAACTTTAGTTGGGAAAACATACATGGGCTTCTTTTATCTCTATGGCTAATGACTACTGGCCTTGAGAAGCAATCACCTTCGGACCTCTCGTACTCATAAGCCTGCTTGCTAATCTTGGTCATCAATCACCATCTTCCATAAAACATCGTTGAACATGGACCTTAGCCTTGCAGCTTGTCTCTTGTCCTTTTCCCTTATGGTAAAAAAATTGGATGGGTTCAAGAACAGAGCTGCCCCATATAGCTGTTGCTCCATTTGGTTTTCCCACCTCTTCTCATAGCACACCATTACCTCTTTAAGTAAATCTGGATTCTCTTTTAAAGCATCTTTGATGGAGCTCTTTGCAACATCCATGGCTATCATAATCTCAGGAACTACGGGTGTCTCATCTCTGCCTGCTATCCTTAGAGCAATGAGAAGTGGTTGAGAAGCTCTTAGGCAATTTTCCACTCTGGTCCAAAATGGCATTGAAAGGATAATATTTTCAGCTTGTTTGCCTTCAAAAGTAGTAGACAAGTTGTTAGCATGCCATTCATCACTAACAAATAAGTTTCTCAGACCATTCTTGTGCTTATACATGCTTGCCAATGTGAGGTACGAAGTAGCAAAGCGGTCACAGCTAGCCTTACAAGATCTGCACCTAATTTCTGTCTTGTTTGATCAAGAAGCCTATCATGTTTGTAGAGAAATCTACACACTTTCTTTGCCTCATTGATGGCAGTATAGAAATCCTTTATTTCTCCAATGTCCTGCAACATCAAATTCAAGCAATGGGCAGCACAAGGTGTCCAAAACAAATGTGGGATCCTCTCCATTAGGATCCTTCCTGCTGCCTTGAAATTGACCCCATTGTCAGTGACAACCTGCACCACATATTCCTTCCCAATCTTGTCAACTTGCTTTTCCAACAAATCTGCTAACATCTGTGCATCTGCCATCTCACATGTAGCATCCACTGATCCCACAAAAAAGGTCCCTGCTGGACTATTGGCAAGAAATCTGATGAGGTGGCGATGACTAGTATCAGTCCAACCATCTGACATGAGTGTGCAACCATATTCTTTCCAAGCTTCCTCATGCTTCTTCCTCAGTTCTAAAGTCCTGTTGACAACCCTTTCAAGCAAAGGTTCCCTAATCTCACGGTATGTTGGTGAGTGGTAACCAGAACCATATTGCCCAATGGACTCAAGCATAATCTCCCAGCTTCTCGAGTTAATGACGTTGAGAGGTATGGCATTTTCATAGAAGAAATCAGCAACATGGTCATCAACAACCTGTTTGGCCTCCTGGTCTTTTTCTGTGTAGTGCTCTAGAGTAGGTTAAGATGTCTTCGATCTATGCCTTTCTGCAACTACCTCTTCTGGTGTCTTGCATAGCATGGCACTGACTGACTTGGATGCATTTTGAGTTTGTGGTTTAGGTGGAACAGCAGCAGCAAAAGAAGTGATGGAAGCTTGAGCAATTTTCGTTATTTCCTGCTTAACCTTTGTCCCCGAACTTGGTACTCTTACTGGTTTAGCTTCAGCAGCTTGTTCACCTTCACTCTCTTCTTTGCATCTTGTTCTTGTTCACCATCTTTGGCCACTTGCACAAATACAGTCCTTGTGTTCTTCTTCAATACAGTCCTTATGTTCTTCTTCAATACAGTCCTTGTGTTCTTCTTCAGGTAATCATGCATCTCTTCCCTAACTAGTTCAGGTGCTTTTGGGCACTTTTCTACATTCACATAACCTCCAACAAGGTGCTGCAGAACCTTCTTATTCCTGCAGGAACTATCTTCTTACAAAATACACACTGCACAAAATCCTTCTTCATAGGATCTGGCCACAACCCATACTTCCATTCTAGGTCTTGAGATCGAGCCTTTCTCTTGGGATCTTGAACTTGGGTAGCAAGATCTGATGGCAGCACTGATATTGCCTTTTCAACAAGGGTTGAAACATCTAGAGCAGCTGAGGAAGCTGAGGCAGCAGCACCTGATGGAACACTTGAATCTGCAGCGGCTGAACCTCCCTCAGGGTCAGGCATGGTCACTTCAACCACGAGCTGCCTCGTTCAACCCAATTAATAGACGACCAGATAACATTGGTGGTTGATGCACCTGAACATTAGAAACGAACACATGGCAATATCAGGATATCTGACCTATTAAATTACCAAATGGCTAAAAATAGCCCAGTTAACAACAGTTCTTTAACCACCAAAAGGAAATGTTATCAGTTATTGACGAGTAACAGAATGGGCAATTATATATACAGGAGGTGTACTGAGCAGTACAACTGCTTGAGAGATAACTGATAGTGTGAAAGCTATCACATTTCAGTACCCAAGATGTAATTGTAACTTTTCTTAAGATCAATGATTGGAAAGTTGCAATCAAACATCAATGAACACAAAACAAGCAATTGCGATTTATTTAGTTAGAGAATGACCAAAACTAACCCTGCTACCATGAGTATTATAACCACCAAGACGCAAGGTAACTCAGTATTCAAGGGTAAGCAAAAAGGAAGTAACTTGTGAAGAATAGCAACAACAGCTTGTGAATCTTCAATCAATTGAGTACCACACTCAGTTCACCAAACGTTATGGCTTATATTTCTTGCATGGTTTTCGATAATCTTCCTCTGTTTGACATCTTCGTTAGCTGCCATAGCAAATTCTTTCTTTCTTTAAGTTTTTGCGAGGAAGCTGCCATAGCAAATTAAATGCGCTTGATCCGTATTACAACGGTCAACTAGAAAGGGATAAGGCTGGAGAGAGAGAGGGGAGGGAGGGAACAGCAAACAGGTGCTGTAATAATTTGAGCCCTTCCTATATGAAATGAAAAGAGTTGCACAAAAAACAAATTCCATTAACTTTTGTTCATAAAGAACACCAAACACTAAACCATCAATCAGGGATAGACATGGTCTAACCATACGTGAGTTCTATACCTCAGCTTTTATGCAACCAGAGGTGAACCAAACTTTTATTGCTCTTATTCCTAAGAAAATGCAACCGATTTTGCCTCAAAACTTCAGGCCGATTAGCCTCTGTAATGTCATTTATAAGGTTATTGCTAAATCTCTAGCTGATAGACTGAAGCCTCATCTCCCCAATTATATTGACCAATCCCAAGCCGCCTTTATTAAGAATAGGCATATCTTCTCCAACATAGTTATTACCCAGGAGATTATCCACTCCTTCACCCTTAAGACTTGGACCCAGCAAGCTTTCCTCCTTAAGCTGGACCTTGCTAAAGCCTTTGATCGCTTGGAGTAGGATTTCATTGATGCTGTGCTTCGGCGTTTGGGTCTCCAGGCCAGTTTCATTCACCTAATTCATGCCTGTATCTCCTCTCCTACATTCTCTATCCTTGTCAATGGGGAGCCTACTGCTGCTTTCTCCTCTCAGCGTGGTATTCGCTAGGGCTGCCCTCTGTCGCCTTACCTATTTGTGGTTGCCATCAATGAGCTTTCTATCCACTTGCAACATAACCTGCTCACTTCCAACCTTTCAGGAGTTACTCTTGGTCATGGCTGCCCTCATCCACTCCCTTCTCTTTGCTGATGATCTTATTCTCTGTGGCAAGGCCTCGGTGCAGGAGGCTACCAACATTCGTAATATCCTCCAGGAGTTCTGCAATCTGTCCGGTCAGGTTCCCAATCTCCAGAAGTCCTCGATTTTGTTTAGCAAGAATGTTGACAGTACTACGAAAGCCAGGATCAAGGACATCTTCCCTGTTCCTGACCTTCTCCCCACCACCATGCATTTGGGTCATCCCATTACTTTTAATCATAATGATCTATACGCCAATAAAAGCCTTCTCACCCACGCTGCTTGGGACATAGCCACTAACAAAAACCCTTTCCTCTCCTCTGTCCTTAAGGCCAAGTATTACCACAATGGTCCTTTCTGGACTGCCAATACCAATGGGCCTCGGTCCATCTTCTGGTCTTCTATTTTGCAGGTTAAAAGGATCTATGCGCCAATTCTATCTACCAACTCCATGCAAGTAATAGCTTCCATTTGGTCCACTCCGTGGTGTTCCCTTTGGGATTCTATTCATGACCACATGTATTTACTGGTCACTACTTTACCCCTTCCTGCTACTGTTTCTGAACTTTGGGTTCCTAACTCTCGTTCCTGGAATGTGAACCCTATAGCAAGTATTTTTGATAACCAGGCGGTTCAAGAAATCACTAATATTAACCCTGTCAATAGTGACCAGCAGGATATTCTAAGGTGGATCCCATCCAAGAATGGTCAATGTTCCACTAAAAATATTTATAGGCACCTCAGTTCCCAGTCAGTCATCCAACTTCCAAATCAAGGATCCAGAAGCATACAGCCTCAGGCTAACCAGATATTGCAGAGGGCCTGGAAAAGCAAAGAATTATCCCCGCTAATCAAGGCGTTTACTTGGAGACTAATTCGACGGGCACTCGCCACTGCTGAAAGGGCAGCAAGGTACTCCACTAACAGTAATAAACAATGTGCAGCCTGTGGTGCAGTGGAGGATAACACCCACCTCTTTTCCCATTGTCACCTACCTCGGGCAGTTTGGTTCTCCTCCAATCCACCTCTCTGAACTGATAATCTACCTCAGGAGAATGACGGTGTCCAATTAACACTGCAGGCTTTTATTTCCAACTTGACCCCTAATGCTGTATTTCACAAAATTGTAATCACCTTGTGGTATTTGTGGAAGGCGAGGAATGACACTCGCTTTCAAAGGAAGACTTCGACTCCTTGGCAGGTACACCATGCTGTGGCTGTGCATATCAGCACCCAGCAAGCAGGCATCGACACACAGCCTCAACTCACAGTACCTCCACTAACAGACTTGGCGAACAGGGAGAGACCACTCTCAGCCACAACCACTGCCAGCCGCCCAACCCCAACACCAGACAACAACTATAGAATGCCAGGTATGATTTTGCCTTCTGCTCCCAGGAACCAGGAAGGCGACACATCCAGGGCCGGAGTAACCCACAGACGAACAAGTTCATCCTCCACATGCCATCAATAGTTCTAGGCGTCAGATGCTACGTTGATGCATCAACAACTCCTGACCACCCATCGCTGCCATCAAGAATGGCCGGCCTGAGAATTTTCTTTGTCAACACGCAGATACAACCGGTGCAAACAATATATATCAAGGCGCACATGTCACGTGCCCAATCGGTGATCATGGCTGAGGCTGCTGCCTTAGCCATTGCTGCCACGGTGAATCATAGCCTCTACTTCAACAACACTATCTTCCTATCAGATTGCCAGCAACTGGTTGATTTCCTTAATCAATCAGACCTCACTCATCCTCCAGATTGGAGAATCAAGTGCTTCACACAAATATTCACCAACAGCACACTTCGTCGACAGGCAAGGATCTTCAAGATCGACAGGACGCTCAACACTACCGCTGATAGCCTAGCTAGACAGGCTTTTCCTGATTCTGGTTCACTTCCTGAGCCTGTGTGCTCTTACATGAATCACCATCACCAGTGCACACAAGTGGATGCACTGACCTCTGTACATTTGCAAGATGTAACCATACTTTGAGCATCTTGCTGCTAATATAATATCGTTTGTTGTCCAAAAAAAACCCACCTATATCTTATTAAATGACTAGTCAATTCTTAACAGATAATTGCTGACATAGTAGAAGACAAGGCAACCAATTTGCAGAGGGAGAACTGCAAATGCACGGTCACCCGCCAAACAATATAAAAGCACATTCGCTGCATTGGCCGTTTTTCTCTTTAGATCTAACCAAAAGATGGCCTCTGTTTTCAACAAAAACAACTTTAAGCCTGCAAATTGCAGGTCTGAATACTAAACATGAAGGGTTGAACTCTTTTCACTTGAAAATTTGTAGACTATCAACAGCATTCCAGCAAGAATGCAGCCTGAATCGAAAACATTCAGTTGGGTGTTCGAAATATCAACAGCAGATTCGAGCTCCTGATGTTCTCTTAACAGAATTAAATTACTGAAACAGTCAATTACTCAAATGTCAAATACCTACTGTGCTGCTGCCACCGGACTCCCGCTGGCCGCTGTAGCCTGTCCCACGCACAACTGTGAACTGTGCAATGCCTGTCCGCCTATCGCATATCTACCTGGGAAATGCCGGCCGGCTGGCGGCTGCTGAGCTAGAGTTTGCTCGCGCGGTCACGCCCCCACTTGCCCGCCTCCCGTGCCAATTTGCCACGCCGCGCCACTCCTTGATTTGACTAGGCCACTAGGGTCACTAGGCGAGTTCGGAACAGGAGAGAGGCGAGAGGGAGGGGGCTAACGAACTGGTGAATGGCCGAACACACGAGAGCCGCCGCCCGCCGGCGCTAGCTAGCACCACTGCCTGGCTCTGGCTTGGACCTTTCTAGGCTGGTTGCTGGGCCGGCGGATGGAGCTAGCTGCTCGACTGGATCATAGGTAGGCCCAACACTCACTGGGTTAGGAAAACTTGAGATGAGAATTGTTTTTATTTATATATTTTCTTTTTTAGAAATAAATGCCAGCACAAAACAATTTGCCATTTGTTAGGCCCCCATTTCGAGAGTATCTGTATTTTTTGCGAGGACCAGTGAATGTCATATACTGATATGGCCCTGTTCGCTTTGCTGAAAAGTCAGGCTGAAAAGTATTGTTCGTTGATTTGTTGTGAGAGGAAAATATTGTACCATGGCTAATAAGTTAAAACGAAGAGTCTGTCAAAGATTACTCCCGGAGGTCACAAGGCAAGAAGAAAATAGATTGTTTTGAGTTCTTTCTCTGGGTGTGCTTGACAGATTATCATATTTGACTTGACCTCTCAGCTACTTGCATGATGTTTGGTTTGGCTCATTTTGTGGTGTGATGCTCACACCGCTAACTGATTGCGTCGATTATAGTTTGTTCTCTACGGACGATGTAATCGGATAGGGCGGTAATGGATACGGTCTTTCAGTGCGTTGGTTACACCTTATGGTGGGTGAAAAGCGTTCGTGCATGCACCCTGCTCAACGATTGAACCAAAAAAATTGGTAATCAATGACCCCATTTTC